GGACCATATGTGGCATTGGGGAACAAACTCATGTGCAATGAACGCAGCCATGTGTTGCCGTGGCGTTTTTGTAGTGTTCATTTTAATAACTACATAGTATTTCATTTAGAGAATATGCCACAAGTTAGTAACTATTTCTGCTATTTTTAGATTCCCATCTTGTGCTAAAACATTCAATTTAAATACACATGATCTAATTTTTGCTATGCCTTTTGGTGATGTTTATTTCCTCTTATCATTCTATATGATGTAAGTACACTCTTTTCCATAGGATGATTGTGGTTATCTTAAGACATTCCACAAACATTCCGAAGACTGTGATCTTCTATTTATATCCAGCAAGCCAAACTTCCAGCACTGGGCTCCCTTTTATGGAGTTCTGTGCACTTTGGCTCTTCTCCCTTTTCCCTTTCCCATTCTTTTCTAGTTTAGTTGGGAGGTCTGACAGCTCTCCTAAATTTTTTTTCTTCTTGTAATTGTTTTTCTTCCCAGTCTAACAAATGAAAAATTTTTAGACCGAGAAGTGTGTCTTCTCTCTTCCTATCTTATTTCTTCTTATTGCCAAAAAACTATATATTAAGAGCCATCTCCATACCGAACGTAGATAAATTGTTCCAGCTCATCTCTCTCTCTTTAGTACTTGGTCTCACTCCTTAGGTTCTGCATTCTCTTTGTGTGTTTGCTTCTCATCTGTTCTCATTATTAATGACATGGGGACATCAGGGAGGCCCTAGTAGGTGAGAACACATCAGATCAGCATGGAAGGTCACTGTGTACACAGTGCCGGTGGGGCTCCTATAATTTCACCAGTATCAAATGAGCCTCAATTTATTCCTTCCTTTAAAAAGCACACATGTTCTTTAATCATGAACAGCTTTGTAAGGATCTATCTAACAGTGATTCAATAAAAAAAGTCTTGGAAAAAAATAATCAAAAAAATAAATTGAAAAAGGAAAGAAAAATAAACAAAATCATACATGTATCTTGATATAATGCTCTTGATCCACCTGAAATAAATATTTCTGCAGTATTACTTTTCCCAGTCCCAGAATCTGATCATTTTAAATGAATCTAAAGACATGGAAAGGTGAATGCTTTCTACATAATTTAACACATTGATTTCGGATGTTAAAAAAATCAGGAGAAATATTTCTCAATGTGACTGACAACTAAGATTGTTGTCTGAGGTCATAGTGATTATTACTAAAAATACAAATGTACTATTTAATTAGTATATTGGTTAGAAGTCCTTTTATTGGTATTTATTACATGGAAGAGCTGGAGCAATAGCACAGTGGGTAGGGTGTTTGCCTTGCACGTGGCTTACCAGGGTTCGATTCTTCTGTCCTTCTAGGAGAGCCCGGCAAGCTACTGAGAGTACCCCATCCACACAGCAGAACCTGTCAAGCTACCTGTGGTGTACTCGATATGCCAAAAACAGTAACAAGTCTCACTTCGTGTTCCTGGAGGGAGCAGATGCCATTGGGCTACACTAGCACCCAACAGGGACGAATGGAGACGTTACTGGTGCCCCCTTGAGCAAATCGATGAACAACGGGACGACATTGCTACAGTGCTACTACATAGAAAAGAGAACTCTCTAGAGAGAAACTGAGAAAATATCCTCTGTAACACCTCCTTGGTGTCAACTGCATATGAAATGCATCTAGACTCTAGTACATGGCATGCCTTCTAACTGAAAAAAAAGAGTAAGCAGAATTGAGTATTTCTTCTTTTGTGGTGGGCAGAGGGACTAGCAGGCTAAATTCATATCCAGTTTTTCCTGAGTACACATCAAGGAGACTTTTCCAACTTTCTTTGAAGTTTGGTGATTACATGTGAACAACTTCCGGATGGGCACTGGTGGAGGGATGGGTACTTGATCATTGTATGACTGAAACCCAAGCACAAAAGTTTATAAGTCTATAACTGTACCTCATGGTGTTTCACTAATAAAAAAAAAATTTAAAAAAAAGGTGGTAACTGACACTTTTACCTGGATCAATGGATATTTGCTTTATGTAATTCCCTATGATTCTTTTCTTTAAGCTTCATACAAATGTTCTGGCATAGTATAGCCACACTCTGGAAGAAGACCAAGTTATAGAAATCCTGTGTTACTGATGAGAGGCACAAGTTTTGAGGTTTGTAGAAGTGAAAGTCAAACTTCTATCATTTTGTTGCTTTCATCACTGTAGCACTGTAGCACTGTCCTCCTCTTGTTCATCGATTTGCTCGAGTGGGTACCAGTAACATCTCCATTGTGAGCCTTGTTGTTACTGTTTTTGGCATATCTAATACCTCACAGGTAGCTTAACAGGCCTTGCCATGTGGGCTAGATACTCTCAGTAGCTTGTTGGGCTCTCTGAGAGGGGTTGAGGAATCAAGCCCGGGTCAGCTGCATGCAAGACAAATGCCCTACCTGCTATGCTATCGCTCCAGCCTAGCAATTTCTATGAGCAGTGAAAATCAAAGAGTTATCCGTGTAAAAAATTTGTGTGTGTAAATAATTATACTCTAATAATATGCCACAACACGATTGCTTCATTGAGCTTATTCATTAAATCTATATCAGTTATTGAAGTTTAAATACAATATATTGATATGAAAAGCTTTGAAAATTCCTTCAGAATATGAAGTGTATATATTTATTCACTTATTTCAGATTCCTCTAAGGATCTCAAACATGTATTTTTGTTTGTTCCTTCTTTCTTTCTTTCTTTCTTTCTTTCTTTCTTTCTTTCTTTCTTTCTTTGTTCCTTCCTTCCTTCTCTCCCTTCCTTCCTTCCTTCCTTCCTTCCTTCCTTCCTTCCTTCCTTCCTATCTTCCTTCTTTCTTTCTTTCTTTCTTTCTTTCTTTCTTTCTTTCTTTCTTTCTTCATCTCTCTTCCTTTCATTCTTTGTTCCTCTTTCTTTCTTTGTTCCTCTCTTTCTCTCTTTCTTTCTTCCTTTCTTTTGTATTAATACATGAAGTCAGGAAAAATTCCTTACCATTTTCCCATAAGCCCTCTATAATTATCATCAAAAATATAAGACAATCTAATAAAATAACATGAAATACTTTCAAACAATATATTGGTGAGTAAATGAGTGCTTGTCAGAGTCAGAACAATACATTCTAATTGAATTATTGCTTTTACCAGGCATTCTATTTTCTTACAGTTTTTCACTTCTTCCTGGCAAGTTCAGTCAGTATACTTTTCTTTCTCCAAAGTAACAAATCTGGACTTTTAAAATGTGTATTTCTAGTTTGACATAGCATGACTTTTCCCCCCCTAAGTTTGTCATGTATAGATGAGGCACTTTGTTTTCTTTGGAATCACTATATAAATCCTTTTTTTTGCTCATGCTGATGATGTATATTCATGCACGTGTTCATTTCGTATTTGCAGTGAAGAATTCCCTGAATGTGAAGCTTTCTCCATGAATGCAGACAGTGCTTGATGGCAGTTGATGAGGTGTGTATTTTCTACAGGGTTATCCACCACCAAAATGAAGAGAGTCAGTGATTGTGTGAGTGTTGAGATGTTGGATATCCTGGATGCAGGTTTTCTTTTTTTTTCCTTTTTTAATTTACAGTTTAATAAAATCCAGCTGACACCAAGTCTTTTTTAGAAAATCATGTTTATGAGATGTGAGTCAGTGATGACATATCCTTAAGCTATTCCAATGAAAGGAAGGCCTTTAAGGCAAGCGGCCATTGGTTTTGCGGGAAGCTTAGCCAAGCATGTTGCTCTAGCTTGTAGTGGATTCTTTCTTATTTCAGTGAGACAAGGAAATCTTCAGAGTAAGTTACAAGGTGGATTTTTGCTTTTTGTTAGACAGTAAAGAGAGAGATCAGTTTTGTTTGTCCATTGTCATTCAACTGTCAAGGCAAGAGCAGGGCTGTGAAGCATCATCCTGAAGGTAAAGAAAACTGTTTCTAACAGTATTCAATGACTTGGTTAGGGATATTCTGAGTCTTCCCCTACAGTGGTCTTATGTATCACTGTATCATTGTTGTCTCATTGTTCATCAATTTGCTCAAGCGGGCACCAGTAACATCTCCATTCGTCCCAGTTCTGGGTGTTTAGCAGCTTCTCCTTACTCGTCCTTTCCAAAACTGCCGTATTGGAGGTTCTTTCAGGTTGAGGGGAATGAGGCCCGTTATTGTTACTTTTTTGGCATATAGAATATACCACGGGGAGCTTGCCAGGCTCAGGATACTCTTGTTAGCTTGCAGGAATCTCCAAGGACTCCAGGAAATATTGCTGGCGGTCTTATGTAAAGAAAATTGTCTTTGCAAATCAGATAGTTCTCTAGCACTGCCATCAAATTCTTACAATGGATGTTGGCTCTTTTTTTCAGACCCCTCTCCCTAAAGGTCACCAAAGTGACTCAGTTGTTCTTAATTAAATAGAGCGTGGGAAATAGCTGTGTAGCTATGAGAGATCAGAAATTGTAAATTATCCAGATTTTGTTAAAAAAAAACTGAGAGCATTCTTTGGAGGTGAAATATAATAGGCATTTCATCTTGAGGAAAATAATATGCTCTCTGTATTAACTTTTCATTTTAACAAAACACTAATTTTTATTAGCAACTGGAAATAAAGTCCTTTTCATCTTTGAGACGAAATATGTGGAATGACAAATACCACCCAGGCATAGAACAACTAATTATTGTTGAAGAATAATTCATTTATAAAATTCATCTATATATTATTGGGTTGTCCTTGACGCAATTGCATTTTTTTCACAATTTAATCCCATCTGACAGTAGTCTAACCTACATAGTCTAACTTACACTAGAGTCAATAAGATTTAGGCTCAAAGGTAAAGGCCCTCCCGTTGATCGTCGATTTGCTCGAGCGGGCCCAGTAACGTCTCCATTGGAGACTTTGTTGTTACTGTGTCTGGCATATCAAATACTCGCGGTAGCTTGCCGGGCTCTCCGAGAGAGGCGGAGGAATCGAACTCGGGTCGGCCATGTTGGCCGCGTGTAAGGCGAACGCCCTACCAGCTGTGCTATCGCTTCGGCAGCACATATACTAAAATTGGAACGATACAGAGAAGATTAGGCTCAAATATGTTCAAATATATTATCAACACTCATGATAGAAACAAGCTTTTATTTTTTAATGTTATGTTATAAAATATCATTATCATCACAATCCAAATTTTCATTTCATCTATAAATTCTTAGTATAGAAAAATTTAACAGAATGCTATATACATATGTATAATATACAATATTTATTTTTTCACTTTTACATGATAATTCCTCTTATATTTGATTACTTTTTTTAGTTTAAGTGATTTATATTGATTCAAACATTTTTCAATTTTCCTATTTCAAACATAACATTTATATTGACACTAGATATAACACCAAATCAGTCATTTCTGATCTTCAATGGTTGGTTACCTTTACTAGTAACAAAATAAGCTTTCATAATCTATCTGATAGAGCTAGCTTTTTAATGAGCAGTTACATTCAAGAAAGTTTTTCCAAGAATAATATGCGCAAAATGCTTTTAATTTTATATTTAATTAATTAGATGGTTCGCATCTACCCAAATCTGCTATCTGCAAAAGAACATAGACTAGGCTTAAGAGAGAGAAGAAAGAGGATATGAAGACAAATGAAGATGAAGATAGAGGAAAGAAATAAGGATGGAAGGAAGAAAGGAGGGAAGGGAGAGAAAGAGGAAAAGAGATTAGAAAGTGGTAGAAAAAAGCATGTGGGGAAGAAAAGAAGGAACTGGGATAAAAGGAGAAGTAGAGGGAGACATCTGCTTCTCAGAGGGATGTCTGCTGCAAAGTACCTTTGAATTTTACCCCATAGGAAATTCCTGAATTGGTCTTGATCTGGATTCAATGAACATCCGTTATCTGGTGTTATGAAAGCTAGTCTATGAATATGCATTAGAACACATAAAAAGATTTAATTTCTTTTTTCAAGACTTATGAGCTGAAATATTAAACTCAGATCTAAAGTGTGTTTCTGATGATTAAAGAATGTGACATCATGTGCTTGTTCTAGAAATACTCTATTTTCTGGAATTACTTTATGTCATAAAGAGAAGATAAGCTGTTCAAAATAGTGTTAAGATTCTGTACAATAAGATGAGGGAGTGTCCATACAACAATATGCATAAAGTTAAATTGTGATCACAGCTAAACTGAGCTTTTGTCCCAATGACTCAATAGTTTTTTTTTTAATGTAGGAGTAATGCTATTTATTCAGCCACTGATTAGCTGATTGAATCGGGCATGAACTCCACCTTACTATTTTTTATCCATTTTTTTAATAATTTTATTTATTGAATCATCATGAGAGCAGTTACAAAACTTTTGGGTTTAAGTCTCGGTCATACAATGAAACACTCATACTTTTCACCAGTGCCCATTCTCCACCCCCCAAAACCCCAGTATACCCCCATCCCACACCCTCCCCCTACCTATGGGGTAGATGATTTCCACATTACTCTCTCTCTACTTTGTACCACTGTATCACTGTCATCCTGCTGTTCCTCGATTTACTTGAGTGGGCGCCAGTAATGTCTCTATTTCTCCCAGCCTGAGATTTTAGCAGCCTTTTCTTACTCATCTTTCCCAACAATTGGAGGCTCTTTCAGGGTCAGGGAATGAGACCTGTTATTGTTACTGTTTTGGGCATATCGAATACGCCACGGGGAGCTTGCCAGACTCTGCCTGTGCAGGCAGGATACTCTTGGTAGCTTGTCAAGCTCTCCAAGACGTGTGTGTGTGTATATATATATTTTTTTCTGTATAGTTTTGTTGTCTACTGTCTGAACCCCAACAACTATGGTGTGGTAATTATGGAAAATGGGTAGGAAGTGTCTAATGTGTCATGCAGCTGCAAAGCAACCAAATGGTCCAGAAAGTGGCCTGGAGTGTGGTGGTGGTTGGGTAGTGGAGGTCAGCTGCCAGGGCTGGGTCCCTTGGGGCATGGAGGGCTCTTACCCTTCCCACTCTGGGGCACCTCAAGTGAAAACAGCCTGACCCGGAGTCCACACAGAGTCTGCTTCTCCCCCCGACTCCTTGGTAGTCTGCTAGTGGGAGACCCTCAACTCTGATCCTTCGCTTTCTCCTGTCCCTGAACCCAGCAAGTCCTCATCATGAGTGAGTGCATCTCCATCCATCTCTAATTTGATTACATTCAATATTTTGCTACCATGTTATCTGGGATTTTACCCCAACCCTCAGATCTGCTGAAAAGGCAACATTAGAAAATTTGCTTTCTATTGCTGTTTATGAATAACATATGATGCTGGGTGGCTACAGTAGTGGCCGCGCAATTTTGAAAATCCAAATTTTAACAATTAAAGCTGGAAGGATTTTGCCAAAACCTGCTGAGTTTCGAGATGTGTTCCTGAGTCTCTTGGATCATGGCCGTTAGCAGCTTGATCAGGAGCCAGAGAGGCCTTTCGTGGGTGGCTACTCAGGGTCTCGTTAGAAGGGGGAGGAAAGGACCAGCTCCACCCCCATCCTGTGAGGCCCCATGTGTCTCATCAATGAGGGCCCAAACTTGACTGTCCAGTGGCCTCTGGAGGATGGTAGCCACCAAGCCGCCAAGGGGGAACAGGCAGAGGGACAGCACCCTTTACCCCTGGAATGGCCTGGCTACAGTAACCTACTGCGGGGTCCAGACTAATTTCTGCCAAAAGCCACTGGGTTCCAAGATGTGTTCCTGATTTTCTTGGATCATGGCCGTTAAGCAGCTTGATCAGGAGCCAGAGAGGCCATTCGTGGGCGACAACTCGGGGTCTTGTTGGGACGGGGAGGAAAGGGCTGGCTCCACCCCCATCCTGCGAGGCCCCGCGTGTCTCATCACTGCGGGCCCAAATCTGATTGTCCAGTGGCCTCTGGAGGATGGTGGCCACCGGGCCTCCAGGGGGAACAGGCCAAGGCACAAAACCTATTCCCACCTGGGGTGGCCCAGCACCAGTAACATACTGCATAGACTGGACACATTTCTGCCATTTGTTTCTGAGTCTCTGGGATCAATGACTCAATAGTTTTGATAATCAAATGTTCTCCCTTGACAAAACCAAATGGACCCTACTACCGATATTTCTTGCATTCTAACATGTGTCTACAGCTGAGTGTCCCATGTTGAGCTCTCACATGCCACACTTTTATACCATAAGTGTTTACAAGCACCAATAAGATTTGGTAGGGTAATTGTGTTCTGAAAGAAAATTTTGAAAATTATTGCTAATATTTATTTTAATATATCACAATTTTTTACAATTATTTATTTTATGCACCTTTTTCATGAGAAATATTCATTTGTAACATATTTTATTTAACCAGGTTCCCCCATAAAAGCTTCCACCTTCAATATTTTATGAGCACCTATTTTTGTCCTTAGTCTTCTTTTATATCTTTGAACTGTCATACATGATTTTCTGCTTCTATATTTAATTCCTCCATTTTTAATACTAATGTAGGTTTTAAAAAGCTTTTCGCTAAACTCAGCTTATTTATTTTCAGTCTTTTTTGTTTTACTAATAAGGTTAGTAAAATCAGATAACCTTATCTGATTCCATTATATATTATTCAAAACAGTGCTAAATCTATACTTAGGCCCTCCCATTGATCATCGATTTGCTCGAGCGGGCCCAGTAACATCTCCATTGGAGACTTTGTTGTTACTGTGTCTGGCATATCGAATACTCTCGGTAGCTTGCCGGGCTCTCCGAGAGGGCCGGAGGAATCGAACTCAGGTTGGCCATGTTGGCTGCGTGCAAGGCAGACGCCCTACCCGCTGTGCTATCGCTCCAGCCCAAATCTATACTTAGAAGTTTTTAAAAAATTTTATGGAAAAATATATGCAAGTAGAAAATAGTCTATGCACACATATATTTGTGTGTGCATGTGTGTGTTAACTTTCTTCCCTTTTTGTTTTTCTCTCAACTTCACATTTAACAACTGATTTATAATAATATAAATAATAGAGTTTTCAGTATATAATATGTTGATACCACACTCACCATCAGTTTCCCTCCATCAGTGTCTCAAAGTCTCCTTCTACTCTCCCACCCCTTGCCCATGGGAAACTCAATTCTCTAGGGAGACTCTCAAGGTTTGTTGTCATTAGCAATTGTTATTGCCTTACAACGTTCTTTATGTTTTACATATGAGAGAGATCATTTTATATCTGTCCTTCTCCCTCTCACTGACTTCACTTAGCATCGTACCTTCCATTCCAGTCATATTGCAGTGAGTTGAATTATTTTATATTTTCGTATAATTAAGTAGTGTTCCATTATTATTTTATCCCAGTTTCTTTATCCACTAATCAGTTCTTGGTAAATAGTCTTGCAATAAATATAGGAATGCAAATGTCTTTTTGAAATGGTTTTGCAACATATGTCAAGAAGTATGAGATGTGTGATGCATCTATATACAATTATATGTCAGAATCTCCTGCCCTTTCGAAGAGCCCGGCAAGCTACCAAGAATATCCTGCCCACACAGCAGAATCTGGCAAGCTACCCATGGTGTATTCGATGTGCCAAAAACAGTAACAATAATGGTTCTCTATCTTTGTGTTTCTGGAGCCAGCAGATGCCATTGGGCTACACTAGGACTCAACAGGGTTGAATGGAGAAATTACTGGCACCTGATCGAGTAAATTGATGAGCAACAGGGTAACAAGTGATGCAAGTGATGTCAAGAAGTGAGGCTCGGTTCTTATTTTTGAGAAGTGTCCATACTGTTTCCCATAGAGTTTAAACCAGATGACATTCTCAACAATAGTGTACGGTTCCTTTACCCCACATCTTCAACATCACTGGCTGTTTCTAACTATGATATGTGCCCATCTCACTAATGATATTTTGTTTCAATTTGCATTCCCTGAATTATCTATTGACTTTTCTGTATGTTCTTCTCTTGTTTTGGTTTGGTTTTGTTCAGTTCTTCTTGTTTTTTTTTTGTTAAGGTGATATTTTTTGCTAAGTATAACATGCATCTCATACATCATAATGATAGTATTTTGATTATGATGATTTTGGTGATGATACAATGACATAACTTATGTATTTTTCTATTTCCAAAAGTTAAATATTGATTTACATATGGAAGCAGCAATTCTCTTTT